CACTTAATGAGAGAAGCATTAAGAAAAAAAACGAAGACTGGGAGGAAAACCAAGAGTGTTAACAAGGTGCACGCCGAAACAAAACCCGCACAGCTCAAATTTCATGGCTTGGTCCTCAGTCCCTGCGTCTGATCTGAAGAAATATTCACAAAGGTTCCTAATTCTGCAGTACAGCAGACCCAGATGAACCCAGAGCCTCAAACACAGAGGAAGGTGGCTGAAAGGCCAGCGATCCTCTTCTCTCTGACCTATTCAGAAGCAGGACAGCTAAGCCCCTGGAGAGTGGTTTATCTTGCAAGGCTGTGACGGTATCACCGCCTGGAAACGCCAGAGTGCTCTTCGCACACACGAGGCAGCTGCTCTGCGAGGTCACATTGCAGAGGAAAAGGGACCTTGTACAGCAGGAGAGAGGAACACTGCAGCTCGAAAACCCACACAAAAAGCCTGCATCGCACTGCAACACACAAATTCCAGTACCTGTGTGTCTGCAAGCATGCATGTCATTCCTACTGTCTTTCCTTATGCTCTGTTCAAAGAAATGAGTCTGTGCAGCTTCCTAGTGACACTAAAAAGGCATTTAGCAGAAACCCAAAATACTGTACACTCATAATGCACTGACATTCTCCTAGCAGGATATACATTAAAAATAAAATTAAGAGCAAATTAAATTTAAAGGAAAAAGACGGCACTTAAGTGGGGACGTGGTGAAAATGCAATGATTATTTATCAAGGAGGACCCATCCTTGAGGTGGATTCTGGAAGAATACAGAACGCCAGTCTGCTAGATCTCTGTGACTCAGCACAGCTTTTCAAAACGAAGGAAGATTGTGACATCTTCGGTTTCCTGTTGACAGGGTCACCTACTGTAGGTCTACAGCAGCGGTCTGTCAGTGCAGCAAATGCTCTCCAATGATTTGTGGCAAAACTGCAGAATTGCTTCTGCAATAGTAGCTTGCTAAGGGCATAGAAACACAAGCAGAGAAAATGACAAAAATGATTTGCCAAAGCAGATTTCACGCATGCCAGGAAATGTGCTTTTGTAAGTTACTCTAACCCAAAAAAAGATGCCCAGACTGATAAGTCACAAAAAAGAAAAAGTAATTTATTTAAGCTGCTGAGTTTTACAGACCTGTAGAAAAGCATTTAATCCTGAAAGCAAGAGGCTCTTCTTTACACAAAGGGTTGTGGGAGTATGTCTGGACAAGAGCCCTGAATCAATCAGCTACAAATATCCAAACCTGCTAGATGGGCCAAACAGCCTCCTCTTGTAAAAACCATTGTTATGGAAAATATCGAGATGGGAGGACAAATGTCTCCACACATGTGATATACTGTATACACAGGTACAAAGAAAGACTGAGAAATAAGAGATCTAATACACTGAAGTTAGTTTACAAAAAACTTTGTGTATGATCAAATAAGTACTGTAGGTCAGACCACATATTTAACAACTGTTAAAAAAAGGACTGTTCTTAATTCATTTTTCCCCACAAAGGGTGAACATTACAGGACCTCGGGCGAAGGGGACGAGGTCTTAAAGCTTGTAATCTAGCTAAGTCTTAGTAAAGAAAATTAATTTTATGACTTTGCTTCTGTCGAAAGGCGATTTGCGAGAGTAACTACCGAGACTGCCAAGTGATTTGTACACAGTGAGGACACACTTGAACTGCACAGGCTGCCAAAGGGTTCTTTCATGGGACCTTTTTGGCCAATCCCCTGCTTACTGCCTGAACAACTCTCCTCTGCCAGCCGAACAGCGGCACGAACGAGAACGCGGTCCTGCACGAGCAGGGCGTGTTAACAGTTGGGAATGCTTCGGGGTTGGCGCAGAGGGAAACCGCTCAGGCAGCTTTTCAAAACGCCTCAACCACCTCACGTACTCCGCAGAATCCGAGGCACTTAGAGTTTAAGAGCTGCCCTCGGTGATCCTGGCCTGTGACCTCTTGCCCCTTCCACAGATTTATTACAGGAAAGGTTTCCAAGCTCGGTACCCAATAGCAGAAGGTTGTACCAGTTTCTGAAAGCGAGGGCAACATACGAGTAAGTGTGCTTAGAAGAACACTTACTGAAGCACGGCACCCACCATACAGTACAAGCACAGTACAATGGCCAAATTTCCCATAGACCTTTACCAATCATGGCCTCCTAATAATCCCCATCTATGAATTGGCTTCATCACTCTGCTCTCCTCCCCACTGACAGCTGGTGTGTGGGGAGTGTTCTGGCGCACTATGGCTGCCGTCGCATCATCCAGGTGGATGCTGCACACTGGTGGTGGTGGAGGGGAGTCCCCATTACCTGTAAAGCGCTTTGTGTCCAGAAAAGCGCTATATAAGTTTAAGCAATTATTTTTATTATTACTACAAGTGCAGACGTAACAACCATGCCCAAATGCGAGTCCAGACAGATGGCGCACACAAGTCAAGGGCTTGCCTTTAAGGACACATCTTCCCCTTCAGAGTCACACATAATCCATCTGGATTATGTGGATGGGTCCTTGGAACAACAAGAAGGGCCTGTGCAAAATAGGAAAGGGGGGTCCGACCACACACGAGAGCAGCTGACACGGGTGACAGAGTGACGAGAGAAGCCTGGATCAACACATACTGGAGTACTTCATATTACACTCAATGGCTTAGAGAAGCGCTGAGTATAAGATACACGGTGCCAATGAATTGAGGAAAAGCTACACAAAAAAAGAGGAGCTCATTCAGCCTCTCTCGATCCTTTGGTTGCAAGAGACAAGTGATCCCAGGATCACGTCCAGCTGTACAATATCTTGAAGGGAGCCAGGCTATCAGCTTCAACAACACGGCTGGGCAGCTCTTTCCACACTCCTACAACTCTTCGTGTGAATGCTTCTTTATCCACCCCCACTTCCACGGAGGTTCGGAAAACAAGCAGGGGTTTATCTGCCAGCTACAGATGCTCAGGGAATTTTCCTAGCGGAGTGAAAAGCTTGGTCAAGAACACCAAGAGTCGATTTTGCAGAAGACATTTACTGATGGATCCAGCTTAACAAAAAAAAACGGTTACATTGCATACTGTAGGTGAACTGGTACAAAAAAAAAAGGCTGGAAAGGATTTCAAAAGTGAGGAAAACGGCTTCTAAATGCCTACGAGCTTGAAGGAAGGTTTGGTGCCGCCCCCTCAATAGAACAAGACAGAACATTTGCTTGCATTATGAGCGACGCAAATTTGCATAGGGTATTTCTCATTTAAAATTTAGAGGAGTGGAAGCAAACAAAAGGACTCAAAATAAACTTCTCAGCGCACACGGCCTCTCACAGAAGCAGGCTCCCTAAATCAGGACTGTACCAGATTTTCTGACGAATACAAATTCATTTTCAGATCATTAATGGCCAAGCTTGTCTTCTGGAACACACCTAGAAGGCTTTCGGTTACCAAAATCAGTCTAATTTATGGTGGGAACCAGAGAAGTTCAAAAGCCTTTTACCTGCTGAAAGGAACAGAACACCTAGCCTCTTTATTCTACAAACAATTGCACACAAATGTGTTTAATTTCCTTAATTGCACGGAACGTGGCACCTCCTATAGCAGAGGATGGGGACTATATACTGTAGCAGCTTGACAGCGGGATACAGCTGGCAACAGATCCACTGGATGTCAATCAATCACGTTAATTCCACAAGGCACAGCAGGAATCCGAGCGAGATCGTTTTGCCACAGTCTCAGGAAAAAAAAAGAGCAACCCTTTCCCCGGGAGAACAGCCCCACGGAAAGCTCCAAAACGCTGCATTTAGCCTTGCAGCACAAATACGCTTCAGATCAAGCCAGGGCAATGCGAAAATGAAAAGAAAAAATCCGTTCAGAGCACACTTCGGAATACGCTTCAACTAGAAGAAGGCATGCTGCAGCAGGCTCAGTTAAAGTCAGCCTCGCTGTCCTTCATCTAATTCATTATCGTAAGGGTCTAAGACTGAGCAGCATTTTCAATAGGTGTCTAATTCAAAATGAGCACACATTTTATGAACTCTATCTCACTGCCAGGCTTTGCATAGTCTATATTCACAACCTTGTATGACCTTCACTAAACAAAAGAGCATTTTTATCATATTAAGAGCCTCCTATGGCTCCCTACACTGTCGTTGACATCTGCATTATTCTGCTCGTCTCTATACGGAACCCACTGGAATCTGCTACAGACATTTTTAGCCATGTTTTAAAATAGCAGTCGTTCTTGACAGTTCGGTAACCTACAGCACAGAACTGAGGCTTCTAGCTTCATGGATGTGCAGAGAGAAACAAATAAGGTTAAGCACCAGGCACACGCGAGTCAACAGAATCTGACTGGCCAACGAGAGATGAATAACTGCCACCCTTCGGATTGTCTGACCCGGGGCAGTTTGCCCTGTGCTGCTGCGAGTGCGATTTTGAAGACGATGGTCGATGGGAATTCTGGGTTGCTTTGATGCCAAACTCTGCCTCGTCTCGCCCAAACTAAGCAGCCTTGACAACAAAGTTGTTAGAATACAGGATATTTCCACTGGAAGCCATGAGGGAATTGCTATCATGCATGCACTGTACGAGGGTGTGGAAGATGTCAGAGGTATTTATGGAGCAGTGTTTTCAACTCAGACGTTGATGCCAGGTATGAACTGGGTGACACTGCTACTGCTCTGTTACTTGCTTTGCGGGGAGTACCTCTGATGTCAGCGAAGAACCGCTTTGATCAATTCTGGGTACCATGTTGTATTGGATACGTGACCTGAGAAAGCCATTTCATTATTGATTTGAAAAGACCCTTTAGTGGTCTAAAGCTTCAGAAAACAACAGTATTAATGAAATCTTTAAATGAAAATGACAGACATTTGGCGTTGGGGCATTATCCGAGTCAAGTCTAATTGATGTACATCACGTCAGGCAAGACGAAGGCCACAACCGACAACATTACAGAGCATTGCAACGGCCGCTGCAAAAATAGCCCGGGTCACCGAAGAAATCGATTAGGACACATAAGGCTGAAACCACGGACTCACCCAGCTTCATCAAGGAGGCCAGCAGCACCCATAAGGAAATCTCGAACGGCTTCCGCACATGGCTGTAGTCGAAGTTGAGCACGGGGAAAGCCCTCCTGGTGCGGTTGATCTCCGAGTGCGAACCGTGCTCGCCGCTGGACCCCGGGTCGTGCCCGGTGGCTGTGCTGGCGGCTCCGCGCGGCAGCAGCGCGCCCAGCAGCGCCAGCGGCACGAGCAGCAGACCCCATCTGGGGAAACACCTGAAGTCCACCGTCGCGCGCGAGCGCCCTGCAGGACGCATAGCGGGGGGGTTTAAAATAGAAAAAGTTTCCGAGCACCGCATTCGAGCGAAATGAAAAAAAAAAAATCAGAAAAGGAAACAAAAGCTGACCGTCTGTTTCAGTGTTAAAAACGTGCAAAAGCTTTAAAAGCTGCCGTCAAGAGTGAATACAAGTGGATTTTCACCTATTTCAACTGAGCAGCAAAGATGCCAGCAATCGCTGAAGTAAAAAAGTTCAACTATAGCAGAGGTCACAAACAGTCAGATAGGAGGCAGAGAATCACGAATGCAGCCTCACCCGATTTGTGACTGTTCTTACTTGGGAAAACCACAGTCTTAACCATCGTAACGATGCGCGTTATCGACTGAAACTTAAAGAAAACCACTCGTCTTTTTCAAAACGAGGGCTCCTCACTTACCCCCCTCCCCGCTACTCTGACGACCCCAGTCTCACAACTTCCCAAGTCCAAAAAAGCTGTCCGCTATAAAAGAGAGATACACACGCACACCAAATTCCATTTCCCGGTTTTGTGTGGGGGGGGTTGTAGAAAGGCGCTCATACAATAAATAATCAAATAGGTTGAACTAAAGGAACTCCACTCCAATAATTAAGTGAAACTACTAGAATCGTCCTGTACTGTATCTCTGCGGGACATGACCAAGGCGCTGCAAGTGTGCTCTGAGCAACACGGACGTCCTGGCGGTACTCTTCTGTACCGATGCACTGCAGCTCATTAACCGGAGAGCACAGCGAAACAGCCGGGCTCTTAGCACAGCCGCCGATCCGACGAGTCGCCTTCTTTCTCTGTTGCTCTCTAAAAATCCAACCGGCAAAACAGTTCCGTGTGTTGTCAAATACAACCTTCAAACACACCCTTCAAGGAAGGTTTTATCACAGGAGGGAGGGAAAACGGGGGAGGGCTGAGGGGGGGTGGGGGAGAATTTGTCCTAGTATAGAGACATCTGCCGGTAAGGAGGCCCACAGTTCCGGATAAACGCAGCTGAAAAAAAAAATGGCTGAGTAATTACCAGAGTACAGTACGTCCTACTGCGGGGAGGCTCGACTGTCTTTGCTTTCCGAGCACGGGTCCGGCCGTGAGGCTCCGCCAGAGCCCGCACCTGCAATGCAGGACCAGAAGGCCGGCGACGGACAGCAAAGCGCTGTGCGTCTGTAGCGCGTCCTTGAATCGGTGCATTGACTAATAGAATAAACGTTTCATCCTGCTTACACAAAACTTATTATTTTGAGGCTGGAAGACTACCAGTATGTTTTACATAAAAAATCTATGTCATCAGGCATTTTTTCCATTTTTACAGCATCAGACTTCTCATTGGAGTCTTTTTATTTGCTTGTTTCTCCAGAAAGAGGTTGGTTCTGTTAGTTTCACAGAGCATTTTGCAATTTGGTAAAATAAGCTAAGGATGTGAACACTTGGACTTGGATTTAATACAATTGATTGCAATAATAATACCATATATATAGCGCCATTTTTGTACATATACAACGCACTACACATCATGAATACAAATGAGTGAACACAAGAAAGTACAAGAAGCAAGAGATGGTAGAAGGATGCCCAAAGCACATGTTTTGGTTCAAATTTCCAGCAAGAAATGTTCTTATTCCTGTGCAAGGTACAACACATTCAAGACAAAGACCAATACATCTATCCATATTCTGTTTCTTCCAATTCAGGGTTGCAGGGGACCTGGAGCCTATCCCAGCAAGCAACAGGTACAAGACAGGATACACCCTGGACAGGACACCACTCCTCTGCAGTGCACAAACACACACTCACACAGTGACTGATTGCCACTAAACAGCAGGTCAAACTTCAGAAGTTCTAATAATAAGCATTGGCTCATCCTGTCCACACCTCAAAATAGCAAATTCCCTTTGTTCCATCTATACGAAGGTTAACTGGTCAAGGTAAAACGTTCCTTACTAGGACTTTCGTGAGTCAAGTCCCAGTGACTCAAACTGTGTTTGGCTGAGCAAGATGCTCGTTGTTGTTTTGTTCTTTTGATGAGCTACAAAACGAGGGAAATCCGATTTAGTGGGTTCTACAGGATTTGTTGCAGGAAGTGGCAAGCACTCAGTTAATTCAAAAGCATGGTAAGGATAGAAACAATCAGAATTTCAGAAAGGACACCAATGAAATGAGCTCATGTGGACTATTGAGCTCATGTCATTCCATTTCCCAGAGCCTGTGTCGGTTCTACTGGAAACAATCAAACTTCTCCTCCCTCCCCCACTGGAAAGACAAGGAAACTATAAAGAACAGAAGCCAATCCATCCTAATCTAATGTCTACAAGTAGAACTCTTAATCACCACACTGTTCCCAAAACAATGTCTTGTTCAAAGTATTGTAGCCATGATCCCACCTGGAGTTTGAACCCAATAAGCAGCTCTTGGATCCTAGTTTCAGTTCCGGGCTGGGGCTGCTTCTGTGTGGAGTTTGCATGTTTTCTCCATGTTTGTGTATGTTGGCTTCCTCCAGGTGCTTCAGCTTTCCTCCCAGCTTTCAAAGAACGTGCAAATTGTGTTTAATCAGTGTCTCTAGATTGCACTTGTTTGTGTGTGTTATAGGCCAGTGCCTGAGAAAGTTTACTGGATGTCGTGATCAACACCAGGAATAAGGGGATAATGATAATAGAAGAATGATATAAGACACGTCTTCAGGCAAAGGTCATCATATGGCTGGACTTTCCCTATAAAACAGGAGCTGTCTGGGATAAAATCAAGAATCCCTCATGGTAAATCTGCAAACTGTTTCAGTTCAAGATGACTTCTGCTTTCTTTCCCACAGCTGTCTGAGCTTTAGTGTATCATTGCTGTTTTAGCCAGGCCTTTTGCTGCCAGTCATGGTGGTGATGAAATGCACTTTACATGTGAGCTGTTGGTGTTGTGAAAGAAAACACAGTGCTGTTTATCCCTCTATGTGAAGCGTGTCAGTGATATACTCTTACACGGGCAGCACAGTGAAGCAGTGGTTAGCATTGCTACTAGGACCACTAGGACTTGGGGTGCTATCTGTGTGGAGTCTGCATATTCTCCTCGTGTTTGCATGAGTTTCCTCTGGGTGCTCCTGTTTCCTCCCACAATCCAAAGACATACTGATAGGATAATTGGCTTCGGGAGAAATTGGCCCTGGTGTGAGCGTGTGCTCGTTTGTGTCTGTGTGTGCCCTGCGATGGACTGGCGTCCTATCCGGGGTGTATCCTGCCTTGAGCCCGTTGCTTGCTGGGATAGGCTCTGGCTTCCCTGTGACCCTGAATTGGATGAAGCAGTTAGGAAATGGATGGATGGATGCTGTTACATTCCAGCATTTGTGTTCAACATCACTTTCATAAAACGTATAGTCATGCTGGAGGGAAAGGCCATTTAGGCAGAGGATCACACCAGATCCCCAGCACTACAAGCAAGCTCGCTTGCTACTTCACCATTAACCTCGCAAGGTGTTAATCAGAAGACATGCCTCACTGGAACTGCAATCAGAGGGGCAACTCTGCTAGAAATGTCATGAAAAGCAAGCTGCCAATGTTTTTTTGGGGGCTTTAAAAAAAAAAACAAAAGTTCACTGCAGTTCTTCGTAACCGCAACACTTTCATTGCAGCAGTGCCAAGCCATGCCACCCTCTCATTAAAGAAGTTACTCAACTGATATTTCCCATCTCCAAAGCCTTCATTTAGCAAAGAAATGGCCACCTTCATAAGAACCAAAGTCTGTTTTATTGACTCTGCCATTCCTTTCTCTGCTGTTGCCAACTTTAACCATCCGACATGTAATTAAGGACAGCTGTGGTTTTGAAGTTGCAGTGAAGTATAGGCAGGTTGTCACAACGTGGGTTTCATAATATGCTTATTACTGACACACTGCCATGATTATTAGTGTTAACTCTATGCAAAACAAATACATAATTATATGTATACCCAAACCTTGAATCAGCAAGACGTTTGCCTCTCCTGTGCTGACTGTGAAGTTTGGGTTAATATAAATATGTACAGTATGTATTTGAAGTCATAATAAGTTTAAATGGGATGGAGTGCTTTTAAGTAAGAATCCTATGTAAGACTGTAAATTTCCGGCATATCTGTCTTTCTGCCCTGAGAGGAAAATATTTGTCCAGTGTGTTAAGTGAAACGTGGACACTGAATACAAAAGGCAAACAGAAACCACAGCTGATCCAAATCAGCACGCAAAGCAGAATGTTAAAATACAAGTGAAGACGACCCTTTGCAGGATGGCAAAAGGAGCCATTTGGATGTAAGCAAGTGAAGACAGACGCTCAGTGCAGAAGGATGAGGAGACCTGCATCGAGGTTTGGATCAGTAAAAACTGACAGACATTAAAAACATGACAAGTATTCTTGGATCCAATGCTCATTTGTTGCATTTATAATGTATCTCGATTTACACTGTATCCCTTATGGCCTGGTAGTTGTTTTTTTTTTAAAAAAAAGCTTATACAGTATATTAATTCACGATTCCTTGATGGGTGCTTGTCAATGTTTGATCTTATTCTCTCACATATCTACGATAAAGCCAGTCTGAACTGGACTGGTGGATGCAGGCAAGCTCTCTTAACTTGTTAGCTCATTTTGCATTTCATTCTAGATTTGTTAAAATCCTGCTGAGGGCACTAAAAGAAGACAAAAGTAAATGAGCCAGGTGGATCCTCCTTTCTTGTTTTACAGCTGACTGCATTACAAAAGCACAATTTGACTAGAAACCTGTGAACAGGGCATTGAGTTGAGACAATTAAAAATGTATGGCCTTGGATCCAATTCATCCCCTTATGAGTCTTCTTGCAGGGAAACTAAACTTCACTCTAGACTGGCTATGTACAGTAGGTGTTCTGTCATGTCAGAATACAGATTCCTTAGATCTCATCAAACTATGTTATTTGTAAAGCTTTTTCCACAAAACAAAAACATTTATAGAATGACTACAACAGTGACTGATTTCCACAACTAGATGAAGGACCTGTGTCACTTTGGAATGTGAAATAAAGCCTGATCCAGCTTCATCTTGGATAGGGATGGATGATCAAGTGGGGACATTTATGCTGATTTAGGATTCCATCGCTTTGCACAAAATGTTGTCTCTCATGGTGCACGGTGCAGGCAAAACAGACTGTACAGCACACTGTATAATTTCAGTACCGTACACATACCTGCACAAAGAGGACAAGAGCAAGAATTAGGCAGCATTTAGTGTGTTATAAATATACATTTTGTACACAAGCATAAGTCCTGCTTTGTCTTTACAGGTGTTGCAGAGCAACACTGAATTGCAGGAGACACAGCTTTGGCAGTTCCAAAGCAACAGTTATGAGGCAGGGTACGCCCTGAATGGCATGCCAGTCCATCGCAGGTCAGGCAGACACAAACACAGACATGCAATCACACCAGGGCCAATTTTCCCAGAAGACAATTAACCTACCAGTATGTTTTGGACTTCGGAGCACCCAGAGGAAATCCATGTGAACTAGCGGAGAACATACAGACTCCACAAAGACAAAAATCCAGGTTAGCAATGCTAACCAGTCTGTCACTACAACCTTTCTTTTAAAACCTTTTCCATTGTTAGTGGAAGACACCCTTGTGACATAAAGTAAACGTAATCCTAATGTAGCCGGTTGTCTGCCAGCAAAACTCAATTGCCCGTAACTCTGTTTTGGTGGCAACAGTGAA